CCTCAGATGCAGACCATGGCTTTCTTACACGTTCTAGGGAGAGAAATAAAAATATATTAGCAATATACACTCCCAGGGTTAGGACCAAGCAGCCTGGCTGTAATCCCCCACCTGGTACACTTACCAGAAGGGGCACTGCCACTACCATGGGGTGCATCTGGATGAATGGTTGAAGGTTCTCCGCTTGAAGTTTCTTTTAGCCCGTCCGTTTGTGAGAGGATCTCTACTGCTCTCCCTGTCGCACAGAAAATAAAAATACAAGTGGCCTTTAGGGGAAAAAAATCATACATATTTTAATAATATCAAGAGTTACCTTCAGGCTCAATTTGTATCTGGTCGAGGCTCTTTCCTTCGAATTCCGTCACTCTTCCCTGCTCCATGGCCATCAACACTTTGCTGATTTTGGCCAGCTCCAGTGTCCCCTCTGGTAGTCTGTAATATTGTCTGTGGATGCGAATGTCATGGCCGAGGAAGTTGGCTAGTATGTCCATGTCATTCTCTTTCATATTGAGAACTGTAGACATAGTAGCTATGTGCTTTCTAAGTTTGGTTGAGGATAGCATCTCTGGATGCACCGCACCACATTCTTTGGCTACCTGCCGTAGGGAGTCTGATCCCCTGATGTGGGTGTCTGCGCCCGGGCGGGAGAAGAAGTATGGGTTATGGTCAGAGATGGAACAGGCCCTTCTGTTCTCCACCAGCACCTCCATCGAAGCAATCATTTCAGGAGTCAAAAGAACCGGCACTTTCCGACTTCTTTTCCCTTTAATTTCAATGCGTTGAAAATGCTGACACAGCTTTTTCTCAAGTTCGGACAGTCCCAGAGCAATGTCAGAATGGATCCCAGTCTTACTTCTTAAGGTAAACGCTGTCAGTGGCATCTTTGAAACCTCACCTTCCCTTCTTCGATTGAAAATAATGACCTCACAAAGAGTCAAAACTGCCAGTTTAGACCAATGCTTAGACGTTGGCTCACTTATTAGGGTTTGCACATATTCAGGTCGACAAACCTCAATATGTGCATGCATGGCTCTAACGTCCTCAGTCAGAGGGAGCAGGTCCGGAGTGTTCCACTTGGCTTGCCGGAGGGTCTGTAGGGCAGCAGAAGAAACACAGACGTCCCACCTCTTCTCAAAAAGCAGCCGGCTTCGTTGGAGGTTTTTAATAAATAGTTCATGAACACAATGCTCCATTTTTGAGTCACATTCAAGAATATCTGCTAGCTTTCTGAGGCTATGGCTGAGTTTGAGGGCCAAGGATGGAGTCTTGTATTGATTTGTTTCCTCATCATATCCAGCCACAGACCTGACTGCATCAATCACATGGTTAAAGTTGGAAGGAATAAAGAAATCCTTAATTGTTTTCAGTTTCCCTGCGGTTTTTGCTTCGTTAATTAACCTACCGACTTCTCTCATTTTCTGCCTGATGTAATCATGCTTAGTCTTATCATGCCCGTGTTTTAAGTACAGGTGCTCTCCGAGTCTCAGAATCCCCTTTTCTGCTTTGACGACACCCGTGACCTCATCCTGATGCATTGCCGAAATTAAAGACCACAGCTTTTTGCTGATGCCCTCCGGTACAGGCTGGGCTAGGGAGCAGAGGGACTGGACCCTACTTCTACCTGGTTTAGCCTGGGCATCTTTCTGTGAAAGCCGGCACCTGGCCACATGCCTCCACAGCCACTTTCGCTTAAGCAATGCCCCACAGTCTATACAGTGCAAAAACTCACTGGATTTAACTGGGGAATTTGGCTGTTTAGCTGGGACTAAAGTTCCAATGCCGGCCTTTAAAACCTCAAAATTGTGCTCACGGTTTCCACTATTCCTGATCAAATCAAACTGAAGTTTACGTGCTTTAGATTTCACAGGTAGAGCCAATGCTCTGGCTACGTCACTTTCATTTCCATGTTTTCTAGTCAAATGACGGGACATTTTGTGGCAGGACATTGAACAGTAGAGGCAGAAGTGTCTCTTGCTATAAACTCTGCCCCCATTTTTCTTCTTTTGCAGCTGCATGATAACAATCTTATTTGCCTTTGGTTCGTCACTTTCCGAGTCTTGAAGAAAAGTGTTTTTGATTTTTCTTTTTCCATACTTTTTTACAGGTTTCTTCTTGACAGTTACATCGTCAGAATCAGTCCCCATGACGTGAGTGGAATCTCAGGTTATGGACCCCACCAGGAGTTGAAAACAAGTGCACACACACACACACCAGAGAGAGAGACCAGAGAGAGAGACCAGAGAGAGAGACCAGAGAGAGAGACCAGAGAGAGAGACCAGAGAGAGAGACCAGAGAGAGAGACCAGAGAGAGGGACCAGAGAGAGAGACCAGAGAGAGAGACCAGAGAGAGGGACCAGAGAGAGGGACCAGAGAGAGAGACCAGAGAGAGAGACCAGAGAGAGAGACCAGAGAGAGACCAGAGAGAGAGACCAGAGAGAGAGACCAGAGAGAGAGACCAGAGAGAGAGACCAGAGAGAGACCAGAGAGAGAGACCAGAGAGAGAGACCAGATAGAGATACCAGAGAGAGACCAGAGAGAGAGACCAGAGAGAGGGACCACCAGAGAGAGAGACCAGAGAGAGACCAGAGAGAGAGACCAGAGAGAGAGACCAGAGAGAGACCAGAGAGAGGGACCAGAGAGAGAGACCAGATAGAGATACCAGAGAGAGACCAGAGAGAGACCAGAGAGGGACCAGAGAGAGAGACCAGAGAGAGACCAGAGAGAGACCAGAGAGAGAGACCAGAGAGAGAGACCAGAGAGAGACCAGAGAGAGACCAGAGAGAGAGACCAGAGAGAGACCAGAGAGAGACCAGGGAGAGAGACCAGGGAGAGAGACCAGAGAGAGAGACCAGAGAGAGAGAGAACGTCTTTTTCCAGGACATTCTGATTTTATACTTTCTTCCTCAGCTTCAGCTCTAACGACCAGCCGACCATCACGGCTCTGGATCCTTCCTTCTCAGGGTTCGGATTCGCCGACAGTTTGAGCGTCAATGACATTCTGCGGATCAACTGTCTGTACCAGTGCTAAGCTCCGGGTGTGGGGTCTGAGCTGCATGTTCTGTACCTGTGGACCCCTGTTTCCTCTGTACCAGTGCTAAGCTCCGGGTGTGGGGTCGGAGCTGCATGTTCTGTACCTGTGGACCTCTGTTTTATCTGTACCTGTGCTAAACATTTCTCTCTGTATGTCTTTGTTCTGACACATTGACATAAATCACGTATAAAGCTTTGTCTCCTTTGATCTGGAAGGATTTGAAATTAAAGCGTATCACAGGTACATTCCCTGCCTCTGTCTTCATTCCTCGACACTCAGATCAAACTGTCCCTGTGTCTCAGTCCCAAACACTCTCCAACCCGACACCCACCACCGCTCTGATTAGGGCACCACTCTATCTTTCACATCAGGTATAAGTTTTTGATCTGATGAATAATTCCAAACACACATTGATTTGAAAGTCCCTGTGATTTCTGTCATCAGGATCCAGAAACATCAAACATCTGAAGGTTTTCTGCTTTAAATCCAACTAATCATTTTATATTTGAAAACACAATCATAAAACACACGTCAGAACAGAAGGTAGACTCATATTTAAGGTAATCTCACAAAAGACTATGTGACAATTGTAAATATTATAATAATTATGGGTAAATATCAGATCCACAAAAGCAAAGTATCTCCCAAATTTATCATGTTTTAAATTATAATTATAAATGTATTTGTCGGAAACAAACGAAGGAACATATCTGTAGCTGCAGATCACTCCATATACCCCTGACTGCAGTCCGCAGATCGGGGCGGAGCTCAACGTGGGCGGAGTCAAACGTTTGATTGAACAGTAGAGGCAGAAGTGTCTCTTGCTGTAAACTCGCCCCCCATTTTTCTTCTTTTGCAGCTGCATGATAACAATCTTATTTGCCTTTGGTTCGTCACTTTCCGAGTCTTGAAGAAAAGTGTTTTTGATTTTTCTTTTTCCATACTTTTTTACAGGTTTCTTCTTGACAGTTACATCGTCAGAATCAGTCCCCATGACGTGAGTGGAATCTCAGGTTATGGACCCCACCAGGAGTTGAAAACAAGTGCACACACACACACACCAGAGAGAGAGACCAGAGAGAGAGACCAGAGAGAGAGAGACTTGACCTGAGTGGAATCTCAGGTCAAGTTGATGATTTTAAAAAATAATTAATATTTATCGGTCCCGATATGCTTTTCATTCTTCTACTCCTTTGTATATTATGTATATTTATAAACTATTTTTGGTACCATTATTTATTATTGCACCTGATTCTGACCGATTCTGATGTTACACCTAAGCTTGTAATAATATAAAAAGCTTTTGTATGGGACACCATTCATTGTTATTTATATCAGGATCACATCTGGTGTCAAAATGTAAATCTTTGGTAAAACCTGTTTCTTTTTGTCTCAAATGTAAATACCAGCTTACATAATAGTAAGGTTACATAATATTCTATATGCATTCTTGTCTCATAAAATAAATGATACTAAAATAATAGTAATATGATTACATTTCCATGAGCCCTCACAACTTTACACACAACTTTTTAATGAGGTTCAGCTCCCACTGAACTAGAACAGTGAAGTGAAATCAACATTTAATATCAGGCTTCTACTTTCAACTTGTCAAAAGCCTTATTTTTTTACTGTCCATTATTTTTTATCCATGCTGCCTTCATTTAAAAAAATAAAAATTCTTATATAAATGTATCCACTCAATTATATCAGCTACATTAAGGAGAACAGAGACTGAATTGTGCCACTGACACTTCTTAAAACATGCCGAGGTTTGAGGTGGGGTAGCGAGACAGTGGACCCAAGGATGTAGACTTGATGTTTCAAAAAGGTAAATTTTATAACACAAACAAAAGCCATAACCGGAACACAGGTATAAAAAAAGTACAAACAAAATCACCAAAAACCACACTAGGAGAACCAAAACAAAGTGAAAATGCAAAGAAATGCAGCATGTGTGAGCAGAAAATTATCTCATTTCAAAGCCGGAAAACACCTGCAGCTGCCTTTTGTCCATTATTTCCTTGCAGAACTCCTCATAGTCTGCCTGCAAACTAAACATGAACATGAACGGTTCACTGAGGTCTTCTTTATACTCTTCATCCAGGCCATCACACATGCGCAGCATTTCCACTGCCCTCAAGGAATCTTCCTTGTTCATGGTGATGACCTGGGGAAGGTAAAGTTTTCCCTTGAAGGATCTTGTGCCACACCACCTTGCTGCCGTTAAGGTGTCCATAAGCAGGGAATCCTCCTAATGAAAAATTAAGAAAATTAATATTAAAATATAGGTTGAAGAAGGCAGCAAACAGTGAAATAAGAAAAGCTCACAACGGGTAACATACTCCGTTCCCAGTTCCCACTTCCGGCAAGCTCTCAGCCTTTGCTAGAAAGGAAACAGATTATGGTTCTTAAAGGTATAATAACAATGCAAGTTCTAAAAAAGATCAGTAGCTTATTTTAAGTATACTGGTTTAATGAAAATTGAGAAATTACAGCAAAACCAGCTACGTCACATCCCATCTCTACAACCTTGGGGGTTGTGTACAATAATACTGTTTTGAACAATACCTGATGCTTCAGAGACAGATTCTGAAAGCTGAATACTTTTTGGAGGGACCACTTCCAGATCCTGAAATAAATGGGGGGGATTATGCTTTAGTCTGCAAGCAATAGTTTGACTACAGGACAAATTAATCAACTCTCACCTGTTTTCCTTTTTGCTTTCTCCGTCTTTTTCTTTCCTGCAATCTGGTTTCCTTAGACCTTGATGATGTAAGGACAACATTAATTTACTATGAAAACATTCAGGTTGGTCTGTTGACCGTGAGTATTTAAAAGGATCTGATTCAATGAGATGTGTATCTGTGCTTTTCTGGAAGTGTGATCATGAGGGCACTTACGGCATGGGGATAAACTATACACACACAGACACACATATGTACATTATCCACATATAGCAGGGCTTATTATGGAGTGCTCCTACAGTCGTGCACGTGGCGCACCACGTGTTGTAGCTACAAGGAGGAAGCGGACATTAAAGTATATAAATGGAGCATAAATATAGATTGGCACATGGTACTCACTTTGCATAGACGCACACAGAACTTATACACACAGGATTATTGATGGTTGGCATGACGCACGCGCACAGGCTCCGCCCCTAACACTGTAAAGAACAGCTCTGAACATGGCTACGGGAGACCCTGGGGAACTACAATATTAACAGGTGCATCATGGGAAATGTAGTGACAGACATTTAACAGTGATATTTGTCACAATTCAATATTATTGAGATTCTTACAATATTCGACAGTTTTGTGATTTGATTCTGTGATTGATTGTGATTACACAATACAATACAATACAATATAATTTATTCTTTTATAGCCCTAGGTCACAACAGAAGTCATCTCAGAGGACTTAACAAAACCATTGAAATCTCCAACACAGGTCAGAGAATCAACAGTTAAAACACATGGAGAATATAAAGCACACACAGAAGAAAATGTCCATACATGTTGTAGAATGCTAAAGTGTCCTGATCATCACCAATCCTTTCTGTTGGACACTAACTGTCCAACAAGACCCTCCTGCATCGACAAGGAACAACTCTTAAAAAACCCAGTTGGAAAAAGTGAGAAACCTTGGGGAGAACTAGGGAAACCCACAGGGAGGGAGACCCATATGAGAAAGGGATCCGCTCCTCCGGACGGACAGGCTAATGATCCAGGACCTAAGCTAGCTACAGAACGTGGACCAGTGGCCGCTGAACGTGGACAGGTCCGGTGCAGGACCGAAGCACTCCCAGGCGGGTCGGGCGGGGCAGTCCGCAGGTGTAGATGGAAGAGGCCAGGCTCAGAGATCCCGTCATCGTACCATGAAATAGACAATGGGACAACGGGTGAATAGCAATGAACACACTACAGTCAAAATCCTAAAAATGCTAAACAGATAAAGTAGGAAGGAGGAGAGGATAGTGCTCAAGTTACCATACTTCTCCAGCAGGGGGCTCCCTATGCAGCTTGACTGACAGTCTGAGGAGTTTAGCCTTCCCTGAGTCTTACCTTCCTAGCCATATGCTAAACTAAAGAGGACTGTTTTAAACCTAGCCTTGAATAAAGAGAGCGTATCTGAAAGGAGGCGAGACAGCAGCAGTCACGGCTAGGCTAGCCCAGGTCACAGCACCAAGATTCATGGATTGCACACCAGGCGTGCAAACCTAATTATATATTATATATCATATACATCACATATACCATACATACCATATATATCATATGTAATACACAACATAGCATAATACAAAACATAATACATATATTGTATAATATATAACATAATATATAACATAATACAGCATATATATATAATATATATACACCATATATTATATATTACCTAATTATATGCTAAATTAAAGTAGAGTGCTTTAAGCCTGGCCTTGAATGTGGAGACCGTATCTGCTTCCTTAACATAAATGAAGCTGATTCCACAGTAAAGGAGCTTGGAGCTAAATGCTCTGCCACCAACAGTGACCTTTGAGACCTTAGGGACCACCAGACGTCTGGCGTTTTGTGAGCGCAACGCTCGACTTGGTTGATACGACACTAACGTGTCTTGGAGATAAGAAGGAGCCAAGCCATTTATGGCTTTATATGTTAAGAGAAGATTTTAAACTTTATTCTGTACTCCACAGGGAGCCAGTGGAGTGATTTTAACACCGGTGTTATGTGCTCCCTCCTTTTGGTACCTGTTAAGATCCTAGCTGCTGTATTCTGAACGAGCTGGAAGCTCTTCAAAGAGGCTTTAGGGCACGCTGCCAGTAAAGCGTTACAGTAGTCGAGCCTTGAGGTGACAAACGCGTGAATAAGTTTTTCCGCGTCACTTTTAGGAAGGAAATTCCTAATTTTAGCGATGTTCCGTAAGTGGAAGTACGCCGTTTTAGTTGCTTGGCTTATATAAGCCTTGAAGGAGAGTTCTTGGTCAAAAATGACTCCAAGATTCCTCACAGTGTTACTGGGTATAATACTGACATTATCAGAGTGATTATCTGGTAAGTGAGGGAGTCACGCAGGCGCTTCGGACCGAGTAGGATCACTTCTGTCTTCTCCGGGTTGAGAAGTAGGAAGTTAAGAGTCATCCACGTTTTAAGGTCCTTTATGCAGCACTGAGCTTTTCTAGCTGATCTGTCTGATTTGGCTTCATCGACAGATAAAGCTGTGTGTCATCTGCATAGCAGTGGAAATTAATTCCATGCTTTTTAATAATGTTTCCTAACTGCAGCATGTAGAGAGTGAAAAGAATCGGTCCGAGTACCGAACCCTGCGGCACACCGAATTCTACTCCAGAATAAGGCGACGAGTTCTGATTTACGTTGACGAAGTGATACCGATCTGATAAATAGGATTTAAACCAGCCAAGGGCTGTTCCTCTCAGACCTATATCACATTCTAGCCTCTGCAGTAGAATGCTGTGGTCTATTGTGTCAAATGCAGCACTAAGGTCCAGTAGGACCAGCACTGACACTTGTCCATTATCAGCAGCTAGTAGTAAGTCATTTGTGACTTTGACTAGTGCCGTTTCAGTCTATGATGAGCTCTGAATCCTGATTGAAAGACTTCAAACATATTATTTTCCTGCAGGTGGCAGCGAAGCTGCTCAGCTATAAGTTTTTCCAGGATTTTAGATATGAAAGTGAGGTTCGAGATCGGTCTGTAGTTTGTAAGTATTTCTGGGTCCAGGTTTGTTTTCTTCAGAAGGGGTTTGATTACCGCGGTTTTAAAAGCTTGTGGGACATAGCCACATTGTATGGATGCGTTTATTATATTTACGATAGGCTCAATTATCAAAGGAAGTATGTCTTTGAAGAGCCAAGTCGGGACTGCGTCTAACATGCAAGTTGAGGCTTTTGAGGATGTGACCACAGAGATCACCTCTGCTTGGCTCACAGCCATGAATTTATCGAGGCCCACTGAAGAGTCTAAGTGGGAAGTCACGTATGCCGCTTCAACCTGTCCACTACCAACAGCAGGAGCAACCTCCTCCAGCTTGTCACGGATGGATGTAATTTTATTATTAAAGAAGTGGAGAAAGTCGACACTGCTCAGTGAGCTTGGAATTTTAGGCTCGATTGCGCTATGGCAGTTTGTGAATTTAGCGACGGTGCTAAACAAAAATCTACTGTTATTTTTATTGGCTTCTATTAAAGTTGAATAGTATTGAGTTCGAGCCCTGCGAAGGGCATTCTTGTAGTTTCGGAGACCTGCTTTCCACTCCCTGTGGACAGGCTCCGAGTGGGAGTGGCGATATAGCCTCTCCAATTTTCTGACGTCCTGTTTTAAAGTGTGGAGTTGAACACTGTACCAGGGCGACGATGATCTAATCCTAATAGTTTTCTGTTTTAAAGGAGCTGCTGCATTTAATGCAGATTTTAAAGACTCCATAGTGTTGTCCACCGTTTGGTCAATGACTGAGGGACTGCAGCAGCTGTGAACAGGTTCACCTTCAGCAGTATTCAACATAGGCTGTATTAGTTCTTTGAACCTTGTGATAGATTTATCATTTACAGTGCCTTGCGAAAGTATTCGGCCCCCGTGAACTTTTCAACATTTTACCACATTTCAGGCTTCAAACATAAAGATAACAAATTTTTATTTTTTGTCATGAATCAACAACAAGTGGGACACAATCGTGAAGTGGAATGAAATTTGTTGGATAATTTAAACTTTTTTAACAAATAAAAAACTGAAAAGTGGGGCGTGCAATATTATTCGGCCCCTTTACTTTCAGTGCAGCAAACTCAGTCCAGAAGTTCAGTGAGGATCTTTGAATGATCCAATGTTGTCCTAAATGACTGATGATGATAAATAGAATGCACCCGTGTGTGATCAAGTCTCCGTATAAATGCACCTGCTCTTTGATAGTCTCAGGGTTCTGTTTAAAGCGCAGAGAGAACCATGAAGACAAAGGAACACACCAGGCAGGTCCGAGATACTGTTGTGGAGAAGTTTAAAGCCGGATTTGGATACAAAAAGATTTCCCAAGCTTTAAACATCTCAAGGAGCACTGTGCAAGCAATTATATTGAAATGGAAGGAGTATCAGACCACTGCAAATCTACCAAGACCCGGCCGTCCCTCCAAACTTTCATCTCAAACAAGGAGAAGACTGATCAGAGATGCAGCCAAGAGGCCCATGATCGCTCTGGATGAACTGCAGATAACTACAGCTGAGGTGG